ATCTATATTATAATTTTCACAATACGAATAATAACTAAGATAATTACATTTGGAAAGCAAATTTCAAATTTTGTATGTATAAATTTAAACTCTAATTGAACACATTTTTTATATGATTATATAATATATAGCTATTTTATTTTCAAAAGTATATTTTTTATATGATTATGTAATATATAGCTATTTTATTTTTTAAATGTTGTGTTTTTTTTTTTATAATAAAGGATGTTGTGGCATTAATTGTAACATTAATTATTTTCCAAATCATATAGCTTTATTATATAAAGGATACCATGGCGGAGCATATTCTTCTAAAGAAGTTGAAGCTTCCATTCTTGATTACCTCCAATGATGTCAGATTTGAGTTTTTCTTTTCCCCCCTTCAAATATTACTACGGAGTATTTCTCTAGATGACTGATTCTTTTGAAATTTGTTTTTTCAGGCATGTTTTCAGATTGGATGATCTGGGTATGCAGTCCCTGCAACTCTTGCCTCTTTATCCAAAGATGCACGTAAGCCTGCTGCGATGCTACCTAGTTCTTCATGTCCTTTCCGCAATAAGTCTGGTTAGTTCATGGTTAGAGACGAAGAAATTTTCTTCGTCTTTTGACGGAGACAATCTTTAAAAAATAAAAAATTATTTTAATTTTAAATAATAATTTTAAAATAAAATATTATAAATTAGGAATGGTATAAAATTGATTAGTTTAGAGATTCAATTGTAACTTTTTTATATTTAGTGATCTAATTGTATTTTGTGTGCAGTTCGATGACCTATTTGACCCTTATTTTAATAAATAAGCTCTACAGAATATTAAAAAATAATAATAATAATTCCTGGTAATTAGATCAAGCTTGTTGAATGGATTCTTGGGAGCACACGGGGCAGTTGCTCCAACTATACCGCAAGAAGAAACTGTTTCTGTTATGTTGCAGACTGCATACCCATCCATTCTCTTTCGCTCTCTCTCAATTCTCAGCAAAAAATCAGAGACAAGAAAAATGGAGGAAGTATCTTACAGAAGCTGAGGCATTATACTATAGATGAACAGAAAAGGTCTGAAATTATGGATAAAAAAGAGAAGGCAAAGGAGAAAAGAGAGAAGAGGCGCCAAAAGACTTCTCTTCTCCGTACCATTCCCTACTCAGATCACCAAAGGTAAACAACAGGAGACCTTAAAGCTAAAAGCTTCAATCTTTGATGTTTCGGTCCAATTTATTCTGTGATTATTATGGCACTTTTCGATTTTGTTGAGCCCCGTTTATCTGAAGCTGCATTATCAGTGAAATAGCAATTCACATAGCTTGGCCACCAATGAATTTGAGAGGATGATGTTTTCTTGAATTTTTTTTTTTGTTCAATTTAGGGAAATGGAATCAAAATTGATTAATTGGTCATTTGAGCATTGAAGAATTGCACATACCGGATGGGAAATGAAAGGCTTGCCAATTTTTGAGTGATAATGAGAGCTGAAACTGCCCTTTTCCTTATATTTTGGTATTTGTGCAGATTGTCAAAAATAGAAAATTTTGTATGGGTAAACACAGACATGAAAATGTGCTTTGGCTTAGGTTCGTGATAGCATTTCGCCTTTTGCTCTTGACCTTCATGGTAAGGTAGGTGTTTATAGGCTAGTGCTAGGAAAAGAAGGAGAAGACAAGTTATCTATATGTTATATTCTGTTCTATTGAAAGTTTGGTATTGTTTTCCTTTGATTGTGTGTACAAGTTTTGCAATGTGAATGGCATAAATATGTGCTCTACACTGAGAGCTTGTGGAACAATATATTGCAATGGAGTTAATACCCAATTTAATCCTCAACTATAGTGGTTTTTCTCAATTTAGTTCTAAACGACTTTTTGTGCTTATTTTGGTCCTCGAATTTGATCGTTTTACTCAATTGAGTCCTTTGTTAAGATAGCTTGGCAATTTCACCTCTAGCAATACCCTTTTAGTCCTCGGCTATAGTAATTCACTACTGGAAATTGTGGAATTTCCGACCACCTGAAAGTGATCTTTAATCAAGTTGAAAGCAAAAAGTGGTCGGAAATAGCAACAAAGGTTTTTCCGGATACCAAAAGTGGTCGGAACAAGGCTATCGACTTAATTTAAGATCACTTTCAGGTGGTCGGAAATTCCATAATTTCCAGTGATTTTACTCATTCGACTATAGTGGTTTTACCCATTTAGTCCTTGATTTAGTCCTTGATTCTAATAGTCAAGGGCTCAATTGGGTAGAACCATCAAAGTCGAGGACCTAATTAAGCACAAAAAGTCTTTTAGGACTGAATTGAGAAAAACCACTATAGTCAAGGACTAAATTGAGTATTAACTCTATTGCAATGTGAATAAGTGTTTCATTTTTTAAACTATACCTAACATGGTAATAGAGTATATGGAAATAGCTTGCTTTATTCAGTGAAACATATACTAGTACTTCTATATTTGAGTTATGAATGTTGAGCTTATCGTTATAAATGTCGGATTATGTTCAGATGGTGGACATCTGACACAATTGCCGTGGTGACTGGTGCAAATAGAGGAATTGGATTTGAGATTGCGCACCAACTTGGAATGCATGGGTTGACAGTAGTTGTTACTTCACGAGTGACAGGCGTTGGTGAAGAAGCGGTGAAAGTCATGCAGGAAGGAGGTCTTAACGTGGCATTCCATCAACTAGATATTGTGGATCCTTCATCACTCAAATCATTTTCTGAATGGTTAAAAGAGACATACGGTGGTTTAGATATACTGGTACGATGCTTGGTCCGTGCCAAAGTTTTTTAAAGCGAAAAGTACAGCAGTATCAGTCTTTTTTATGCGTTTCCCTTGTTTTTATTTTGTTCTACTTAAAGTTTGCTTTTTCGGTTGTCTTTCTACTTCGTTCTCTAATAGGTTTGTGAAGTATTCACTAATAACCATTCCCAAATGTTTAGATAAACAATGCAGGGGTGAATTTCAATGTCGGCACAAGTAACTCTGTCGAGAATGCAGAAACCGTTATCAAGACAAACTATTATGGGACCAAAAACATGACCAAAACTATGATTCCGTTAATGAGAGCAACAGCTGCCGGTGGTCATATTGTTAGTGTGACATCGCGGTTAGGAAGACTAAGTGTAAGGGCAATGTTTTGGTCTGCTCTTTTAGCCTAGGAGCCAATTTTTGTTAATCTTGCACATTGGTTATAAAGTTTTCTGAATTCCTTTTTCTTTCACATAACTTGCACTTGCTTGGTTTTCCCAGAAACTTCCAAATGATGAATTGAGAAAAAAACTGGAGGATGTAGACAAATTATCGGAGGAATTGATTGATGAGACTGTGGAGTCATTTTTAGAACAAGTAAAAGAAGGGACTTGGGAATCTGGTGGATGGCCTCAAACTTTTACTGACTACTCAGTGTCGAAACTTGCAGTTAATGCTTTCACTAGACTAATGGCACGGGAACTGTCAGACCGTCCAGATGGTCAAAAAATCTATATAAACTGCTATTGCCCAGGTTGGGTCAAGACTGCCTTGACTGGTTGGGCGGGGAGTTCTCCCGAAGAAGCAGCTGATACTCCAGTCTGGCTGTCGCTCATCCCCGACAAGTTTGTAACTGGTAAGTTTTTCGCTGAGAGGCGAGAGATAAACTTCTAACTAAGGCTTTGAAGACTGATTATAGATTCAATATCAGTGAAACCGTCTGCTTCTACAGAAACGAAATCTTTTTTTCTGATCTACATTGTATTGTATCACTTACATACTCATGAGAGATAAGAAAATGTCTGTTTTGTAGCTTTAGTCATTTTCTTGAGTAGCATCATTTCTGCTAATTGATCTAATACTACTAATGTTCTCTTGCATTTCATAGTCCATTGAATATCGGTTTATAACACACAGACTTTTCAATCAATCATAACATGCTGTGTTAAGTAAAAAATGTTACTGTCTGAAATTTTTAAAATGTTACTCAAATTATTAACTTTAATATTTTATTATGGTACATCTGACTATCGTCGGGAATTAAAATTAAATAAGCTTATTGTTGAAACAAAGAAGTATATATTTTACTAAAGAATTACCAGTCTACTAGAATTTAACCCTTTGATTTACAGAAAAGTCTACAATCATTTTCTGAAATGTGCTATAAGTGAATCATGTTTTGTGATCCTAATTGACACTGGACTACAATAAGATCAACCAACCTAGATTGCTCATACTTGGTTGGTTTAGATTAAAAAAAAAAAAAAAAAAAAAAAAAAAAAAAAAAAAAAAAAAAAGTCACACTATTCAATAAAAGATCACAACTTCACAATGAGATAAACCAGTCTAGGTTGCTCATTGTTAATCGATTCAAATAAAACAAAGTTAAGAGCAATCATAATAGTGGTTTTTGCTCAATTTTTGAAGAGATAGCTCATACTTGGTTGGTTTAGATTAAAAAAAAAAAAAAAAAAAGGTGACCCTATTCAATAAAAGATCACAAATTCACAATGAGATAAACCAGTCTAGATTGCTCATAGTTAATCGATTCAAATAAAAAAGACTAAGAGCAATCACAATAGTGGTTTTTGCTCAATTTTTGAAGAGATTGGGTGAAATGGAAGAGAGAGAATGAGAACAGAGAAGGATTGAGGTCATACTGCAAGAACTTGATTTTTGTCTCAACGCACCAAGAGCGCCATTTGTCGCGTGAGGTGCAATAACAACACCCGCGTTACCATAGCCTTTTTTGTTTGTTTGAAAACTCATTTTCTTGTTTTTTTATTTTTAAAAAATTTCCTCCCTCCTTTATTTATACTTAGCATTTTAAAATTTGTGTAAAAAACTAAAAATTAAAAATGCCCTAATAGATAAATTTGAAAGAGATAACCAAGTCAACTGTTCAAACTCTCACTAAAATTCGAATTTAAAAATGAAATATCAAATCATTTTTCTGATTAACTTGTCTAGACCGCACGAGTCGAATTTAACCCCGTTGACTCATATGTAATTGCCGCATAAAAAAATCTCTGCGTCGCTCCTTATCAATACGCGCACCACACATTGCTCTGTGTAAAGTGCAAATCTGGAAAAGATAATAAAAAACTCAGCCATGCTCTTCTCACTCAAATCCATATGCTTCTCGATTGTCCTTCTCTGTCGGTGCTGTGTGCATTCTGCGTCGGAAGATCCAGTCCCGGCGCCATGGCCGCCGCAATTCCACGCAGTTACCGTCATGAACTACACCGGCGGGCTGCGAATCGTTGACATATGGTACGATTGGCCTAACAAACGTTACTTCCACATCAACCACTACCAGCTGGGGAAAACGGTGTACGACGTCGAATGGAACAACCACACCTCCTTCGTGTTTACCTTGGACTCCAACCGCGAATGCACCGTCTTGCAATTCCCGGTAGGCATCCTCACGCCGGACTGGCTCGCCGGAGCCAACTACCTCGGCCAGAGGTACAAGGATGGGTTCTTGTGTAACGTCTGGGAGAAAGTGGATTTCATCTGGTACTACGAGGATGTGAATACCAAAATACCCGTGTATTGGGAGTTCTATGATGGTAAAGTTTAAAACATCCCTTCATACCTAGGTTAAGAAATTAATTATGAATATATACTGCATCGTAATAAAATCAGTAGTATTTAAAAATAAATTAAACAACTTATATATACCAGATTAGTTGGGCTGATAATCATTATATTTTAAATTTGACTTTTAGTGGGAGCGGTCTATTAATTTTTCTAATGTCACAAGACAAATCTATCTCGTACATCTTTTAGTTGTATGATTATATAATAAGATTGAGTTTGACTAAATTAGTCTCACCATACTATTATATAGTCAATTAGATATAAGCAATTATTTTATATATATAATTGGGGTGCAGGATTGACAGAGCATGTGATGAAATTTGAGGTGGGAAGAGTGCTTGAAGATTCAAAGTGGCAAGCTCCTGCATACTGCTTTGGTGATGATGCTGTGAACAAGAAGATATCTTTGGTACCAAATCTGGGTAGACATCATCGCGCTCGCATTGAGAATTCATAAAAATAATAAAAAATAAAAAAAATAAAAAAAAAAATACACGTTTTCCTAGTTTTGTTCGAGTACTACCAAGTATAATTACCAGTGTTGCAAAAGGACATCAAAAGTGTATGTGTCCGAATGTCTAATCGATTACTTGCATAAATAAATCAACAACTAACAAAACTTAGTTCAATTCATATTATGTACGAAATAACATGAGTTAATAACCAATATGGTCCTTGACTATAACGTAATTACCAATTTAGTCCTCAACTATTATTCTTACTCAATTAAGTTCTCAACTATACAATTTTTACTCAACTTGGTCCTCTGTTAAGTTGTACGTTTGTTGACCGTCAAAGTTGTGGACAAAATTGTAATCTTCATTATCATCACAGTACCTGTGTAGATGAAGGTTCAGGGGTTGCTGCCGATTCAAACCCACTCATGGCCGCCGCCGCCGATCTCGTCGTCAACAAAGACAGCAGATCGCAAATCTTCGCCATCAGATCACTGCTCGACGCAAACGTTGTTCTTTCCGGCATGCTGCCATAGTGCTGAATGTTCGCCCAAATCGGAGCCTGAGCTCTGAAACAAGAAGATCCGCCCCCTTCGCCCATCGTCTCCGACGAACAGCTTTCCGCTCCTAACGACGGCGGCGATCACGGGAGACTCGTCGCCTGAGCTTTCGGGTGATTATGCACGCCCTTATACACGATCTCTATGATATGCCCGTCCGGTGAGCTCCACCTTCTTCTTCTTCTTTTTTTTCAATTTTTTTTTTTTTAAAGAAAGCAACCCAATTAAAACCGAAAGAAATCAAGAACGATAACCACATTTACACTAATCAGTTGAGCAATTAGAGATTCCTGAGACCGAACAATCAACTACACATGGAGTTGCAGAGTCACTGTGATGATCGTAATAGCTCATGCAACAATGTGGTTCTATCCTCTGTTGTGCTTGATGCCACATTGAGCACACGAGATGGCCATGAATCTGAAGGTGATGGGTATCGTGGGCAAGGTCTACTCACACTGGGTGGGAGGTTTTGCAAAGCCTCTGCGTTGTCAGCCGTGTTGTACATTTGAAGGTCATTGTGTAAAGGCACAACCAAAACCGGTCTGGTAGCTGCAGCTGAGGATGATGCATAATCATGTATACTTGTTCTAAGATGGTCCTCTGTCAGCTGCGGCGGAGAAGTAATGTTATCAATGTTGGTAGTTTGGGAACGAATTGTTTCGTTTATTTCAGTCTGCAGGTTCTCAATCTGGGCTTCCAGCGCAAATTTTTCTTCTTTAAGCTCATCCTTCTCAACAGTCATGTAATGAGATTCTGAATTAATAGCAGTGTTCTCCTTTCTGAGATTATCAACCTGCACAATTTAGTTCCTTCACTAACCGCATCGTTTCTTTTAATATGCAAGCCTTTCAATAATTCTGATGAGATGGATTCAAAACTTTGGCTAGCTCTGCGAATAGCACATTCATACTATCACGCTTCTGTTTCTCCCTCTCCGCCTTGTGGATTTTTCTAGGAACTTTATCGCTTGGTTCCTTCTCAGCCTCGTGGACTTTTCTAGGAGCTTTATCATGTTTTCTTTTGCTGGAGTTGCTGACAACATGAACAGCGCAATTGGAGAAGAATATGAAACCTGCGAAGTTTCATTTGCGGAGGTTTGGGCTGCTAAATGGGGAAGGTGGAAGAGAGCTTATAGAATTACAGTTTTGCTCTCAATTTTAACAGTCAACAAACAGGTCAATTAACGGAGGACTAAATTGGATAAAGAGTGCATAGTTGAGGACTTAATCGGGTAAGAATGATAGTCGAGGACTAAATTGGTAATTACAGTATAGTCAAGGGACTATTTCGGTTATTAACTCAAATAACAATCTTAGAACTAGGATCACTTCATTAACCTAATTATGCATGATTTGCTTCGATCTTATCAAGAATATGTTGTAAAATTAGACACAACAAACGCATGCTGAAAGTAAAGAGAGTATAATAGTATATGAAGCACAAAAGAGGTTTAACTATTATTGTTTTAATGAAAAATATATCGGATAATCTTGAATTATTGGAGAGTTAAGTCAGACAAACACTAGTCTTTAATTCTAAATTTGTAATAGAAAATGCTGCATAAGAGTTTGTGAGAGCAGATTTTTGAGATATCAAATAAAATGAATTTGAAGAAAATTGAGAAAAATTCAGGAAGCGACGCCTTAATTAGTTACTATATGTTGTGAAGGTAAATTGGGGTGAGAAAGATCCATATTTATACCTTATTAATGAATTGAATGCTATTTACAAGCTTTAGAGTAGAGAATAGAAGTGTTGTATTGGATTAATTCGTTACAAAAATTAAATTAAATTTTGCACATATTGATAGCAAAAACTTGTGATGGATACACACTTTGACATTCAATTTATTGATTCTCTTTTAAGATTGATCGTATGTTTAAAATTGAAGTCAATTGCACGCCGAGTCACCATTTTCCACATCATTCTCTCTCGTTCATTTAAGTTGATCTGAAAATGCAAGGATTGCAACATTAGCCAGCTTTGCAAATCTGACTGCCATTTTATGAGAGCTTTGGTCCCTTTTTTATATATCATTAATAAATGTAAATGTAAATGTTATTAGTATTATATTTAGAGAGTAAGTTGAATTGAAATTGTAGAATGTAGAGATAACATGCACTAAGTGACAGGATAATTGGACAAGGTACTGGGTCTGACTCGGTACACTTCGTCTAACCCGTCAAATCAATGATGACAGTTAAAAGTAACGATCAAGATTAGAGAACAAGTGAACAGTTACAAGAGGTCACACATTAAGAGCACCACATCATCAAAGAGAGGAGTTATGGACGGCCAACTCACTTATGGAGGAGGGCGCCTCAATTAACTAATTAAGGAGCCAGCCGTTGCACTTAGTAGGACACCGTTGTGCAATTATTGTAACCGTTACAAGTTTATAGTATAAAGGATGAACCCATGTCACATGAGAGGGGGAGACCTTTTGTTGTGGGCTCCGGTCAAGAAAGAATGATGGTTGGGCGATGGAAACAAAGGAAGGGAGGTGGTGGTGTAAAGGCTCGCCACTCCAAGGATGGAGATAAGAGTTGACGCCACTTAGGAGATAAATCCCAAGATAAGTCAAAATACTCCTCAAGAACTCAAGGAAAAGAAATTGCCACAGCAATATTCTTGAATTTACTACTATCAAGGTTGTCTATCAAACAAATTAATAGCAAGGCTATTTATACAATTTACCAAGCCCCTACATCAATGGCTTTTAAGTTCAAAATGAGCTATTCTAGTGCTATACTAGCTTAAAAGATGCAACTAGCCACAAGACTATGATAACTAAGTCAAATAGGCTTTATAAAAAACTAAATTCTAATTGAATTTAGGATTTATAAGTCTAATATGGACTTTACAAATTAAATATCCTAGGGACGGTCTAAAATAATCTTAGACTTTTATTTGTAAGAAAAAAAACTCCAAGTGTCGATTTATAAGGTATGAACCTCCACTCGATCTTTATTCTTCAAATTATGCCTGAATCAGATTGACCACCTTCCATCCAACTCCATCTTCATATTCTTGATTAGCTTCACTTACTCCTTTAATAAGGCCATTCAAAGCTTCATGAAATATCTTCGCCTTTTCTCTCGTCATTGGACCTCCCAAGGTTTGCAAAGGATCTGTTTCTTTGTTCCCATCCTCATAGTTGTCCTCAACACCTTTTCAATTATTGTACTCAAAACTTAATCTTAGCAATACAATTGTCTCAATTCACTTATACAAATAATCAAATATACTCCGGTAACATATTTACCGTCATTGGTGCTTTCTCAAGCAGGCTAATACACACATCTTTCTCTCTCATCAATAAGCTCAAAGCGATGACACGATCTATATCAAATGGCTCCCATGGTTCCCGTGGCCTAAACATCAATGGAAATGACAGTGCTCACATAGATGCCCGACAAACAAAATCTAGCGACCTCTGGGGCCAGCTCAATAGCAACCGCGAGGGTGACCTCCGGGACCAGTTTAATAGCAACCGCGAGGGTGACCTCCGGGACCAGCTCAACAACAATCATGATGGTGATCTCTGCGACCAGCTCAACAACAATCGTGGTGGAGGGCAACAAGAACCCATGGCACAAGTACCACATGTATATCTCCAGGCGATGACCCAGATCATCCAGCAGGTAGCGGCGGCTCTCACCCAAATAGTGGCAGGGATTCAAGGTCAAGTCCCCCGAGCATCCACGTAGGAGGAGGAAGTAATATCGCCACGGCGGGAGAGGACCCAGCGTCGCGATGCGACCCATCATACCGACAGTCGCCCTGAAACTTAACCTTGCTCCAGGAGAAGAGGGGTGAAAGGCCGAACAGGTGCTTTCTTTGTGCCCTAAAGTCTCATTTTCTCCCAAGATTAACATCCTTTCATGCTTGCTTGCTCCATTACTTGATCTTTTCTCCCTTCAATCAAAAGTACACCAATTTAAGCATTGTTCCACCTTCCTTTACCTAACATTGAGCAAAAAACAAGCATAAATAAGCACAAATATAAGGCTATTTCATGGTGTATCAGCTGCTTCCCCTTATCACAACCACTAGAGGTCGGACGGTCAGTACCTAGATTTTGCCAAGGTAGTTGTCTTCTCCATTGATTTGGTAGAGGCGGGGCTCCCTTTTAAATCAGAGCTTCAATCTCTTTCTTGAGGTACACACACTCCTTTGTGGTGTGAGTACCCGACCGATGATACCAACAGTACCTTTGTGGCAACCTACTTGGGTCCACGATTTCCAGCTGATCACCCAGCTTAATTGGATGCGGAGGCGACAAGTTCTCCTTACTTCATGTACTTGTTGAGCCAAAACAGGACGGAAGGGAGGGGCACCCAATCTTTCAGGGGTCCGCCTCGAATCCGGCTGACTAGGTCTTTCACTCTCATACTTCCCCTTCGAGTCGGGCTTCTGCTTCTTGGAACTTGATCCACCCGTCTCTTGCTGTCTTTTATGTTTGACAGCCTCCTCAATGTCAGCCC